GGCGTAGGTCTCGCAGCGTGGATGGTGAGGATGTGTGGCGGCGCATTCACAACGAGTGCGGTTGCCGCACAGCCCGACAGGTCCATGTCCCAGCCTCGGAACGGTGGGCCTGGAACTGCCAGTCTTGCGACGCCCGGGGCGCAGGCCACCAGTAGCCTGGCGCCTGCAGCAGATGCGGCCAAGTAGTCGGCGCGCGCCGAGAGGAAGCCATCTTCGACAATGAAACGCAGCTCGCCGACTGCCCACGTCTATTTATGGACGTCACGTCCAGTACGCGATCAGTGGCATAGGCACGAAGCTGTGTTCAGTCACAGTGCTCGCAGGGCGACGCACGTTTCGCAACCCAGCGGCGAGCTCCACCGAATTCCTCAGTGGCAGGGTATCGCACGCGGTCCCCCCACCCATTTTGGTACGCCCATCACACACTTCGTTGCCCCACAGGGATCTTTACCGAAAGCATCAGCGGCAAGGCATTGGATAGCTTCCCCCCGCCCGTGTCGGCATACCGCTCACACGTTTCGTTGCCTCACATGGATCTCCACCGAGGGCTTCAGTGGCAGGGTATCGCACACTGTCTCCCCGCCCATGTCGACACGCCCCTCACACGTTTCGTGGCCCCGCAGGGAGCTCCTCCGCATGCACCAGTAGCAGGGTATCGCATGCGGTCCCCCCACCCAGTGCGGCACACCCCTCAGGCGGAGGAGGCGGAAGAGGCGGAGGAGGAGGAGGATGGCAATCATGATGAGGTTGAGGACGGTGGCGGCTTGAGGCAACGACAGCGCATTTGGCTTTTTGATCTACCAGGGCAATTGCTTTGAGGGGTGTCGGCAACATTGCATTCGAAGGCGATGCTAACACTCGCGCCTCGCGTGTTGTCCGGAGCCCCTCGGAGCGTCGCGCGCCGCTGTGGACCGCGATCGCGGGGAGGTCAGATCGACCCTGCGCGCCTGCTCCTCCGCTCCGCCGCCGCGACCCTGCGCCCCTGCGCCCGTTCCGCCCGCCGCGTCCAGGATGAGAGGGCCGCGCACTGCGCTGCTCGCAGCCGCGTGTCGTTGGGTCCATCGCCAGGTGAGCTCACCAGAATGGGCTCGAGAGGCTCGGTGCCCCGGGGTGCGCTTCACATGTCCGGTGCGCTCTGGTTTGTGCCAGTGTGCCGCTGGGTCTTCCAGATTGCCTTGTGCTCTCCATTTGCTCTCCATCTCTGTCTCCGTCCCTGTCCCTGCCTCTGCCTGCCTGTGTGTGTGTGCGTGTGTTTGGGTCTGTGTGTGTGTGTCTCTGTGTGTGTGTGTGTGGTCTGTCTGTGTCTGCCTGTGTCTGTCTGTGTCTGTCTGTGTCTGTGTCTGTGTCTGTCTGTCTGTCAGTCTGTCTGTTTGTCTGTCTGTTTGTCTGTCAGTCAGTCAGTCTGTCTGTCTGTCTGCTTGTCTCTCCTTTCCGTGCCTCTCTTTCTATATCTTCTCTCTTTTCTCTCTCTCTCTCTCTCTTTGTTCCTCCCTCGTCTCTCTTCTCCCTTCTCAATTCTGTCTTCCCGCTTCTTGATGATCTCTTCTTGATTATGCTTCCCTTCTTCGTTTTTCTATTCTCTCTTCCCTCTTCTCTTTGCTTCCTCTCTCTCTCTCTCTTCTGTCGTCTTTTCGTTTGTTTTCCTTTTCTTTTATTTTCTGTTCTGTTGTTGTTCTATCATTGATTCATTGGCTTACGCCACACCGCCGACCCCTTGGGGCGCAACAGTCGTCCCCCGCGTGGCCTTTCCAGACAGCCTATGAGGCCCCTCTAGACACGTTTCGGAGCCCTCCTGGGACCGTCCTGCCGTTCCCCCGGGCCGTTGCTATGGTTTCTGGGGCCTTCGTGGGGCGCCCGGAAGCCGTCGTGGAGTTTTTTGGAGAGTTTCTTTGGGTGCCAGCGGTCGATCTTGGAGGTTTACTCGCCGTTGTCGGCCTCGTGGAAGTCCGAGAGGCCAATATGCTGAAAATTAATATTTACCTGGGGCATGGGACGGTTTTTGCTTCTGGAGGCCTGCTTGGAGCGCCTCGTGGTCGCGTATGCAAACGTCTTGGACGGCCATGGGACTGTCTGGAGGCAATCTTGGGCGGTTTGGACCGACTCGTCCCCCGCGTGGGCCGTCCGGACAATCTTTGGGAACCCTATTTGCCCGTTTTGGAGCCCTCCTGGGACCGTCCTGCGGCTTTCCTGGGCCGTTGCTATGGTTTCTGGGGCCTTCGTGGATCGCCCGGAAGCCGTCTTGGAGCTTTCTTGGAAGCCTCTTCGGGTGACAGGGGTCGATCTTGAAGGTTTACTGTCTTGGGCCGTTGTGGGCCTCGTGAAAGCCCAAGAAGCCAATGTGATGAAACTGCACGTTTTACCTACGGAATGAAACGGTTTTTGCTTTTGGAGGCCTTCTTGGAGCGCCTCGTGGTCGCGTATGCAAGCGTCTTGGACACCCATGGGGCCGTCTGGCGGCGACCTTGGGCGCTTTGGACCGAATCGTCCCCCGCGTGGGCCGTCCAGACAGCCTTTGGGGGCCCTCTTGGCCCGTTTTGGAGCCCTCTTGGGACCGTCCTGCGGCTTTCTTGGGCCGTTGCTATGGTTTCTGGGGCCTTCGTGGATCGCCCGGACGCCGTCTTGGAGCCTTTTTTGGGGCCTTTTGGGCTGGCGAGGGTCGATCTTGGAGGCTTTTTCGGCCGTTTTGGGCCGCGTGGAAGCCGAATGGGCGACCGTGGTGAACATGTACGTTTTCCCTAGGGAATGGGACGATTTTTGCTTCTGGAGGGACTCTTTGGGGCGCCTCGTAATATTGTTTCAAACGTTCTATCATTGATTTTCTCTCTTCTCTCGCTCCCTTCTCTGTACAATCACTCACTCTGAGTACTTATCTCCTCTCTTCCCCGAAGATGGTCGGAGAGTGGCCCGCCCCCCTCCGCATACGGCTTTTCGCACAGGATTCCAGTCATCGATGTCTCCCATGGTTCTTTTTACACTTCGGTCGTTCTCGGTCCTTCACGACTGCGTTGCCGCTGCAGCGTGGGCCTCACTTTCGGATCGGCGCTTTGCTCCCGTCGTTCAGGATGGCACTCTCGCCCCAGCGCTGGCCACTGTCCCGGATCCGAGTTCTGCCTCATCATTGTCGCCCGCCTCCTTTCCCCTCCTCCGCCTTCCCCTGGTCTGCCTGCTCCTTTTGCTTCTTCCACTCCAGCTTTTGCTGCTGCTCTGCTCTTCGTCCTCGTCCTCCTTCCTCCTTCTCCTCCTTTTCCTCTTGCCCATGTCTTCTTCCTGTTGTATCTTATGGAACAAATCCTGGGGAGGCTTGTCCAATGGGGGCTGTCTGGGGGGGTTGTCTGTATCCTTGTGGGGTTGTCCAAGGGGTTGTCCAGGCCGCGTTGTCTTGCCAACACGTGCGCATATCATTATCATACATGCCACCAAAAGCATGGTTCAACCAGGGAAGCCCAGCTGGAAATGTTGCCTCTCTTTCCCTCTTCCCTTCCTGTCCGTTCCTCGTCTCTCGCGCCCCCCTTCCGCGGATCCGCTCCCGTTCGCTGAGACGTCTCGCAACTCTGGGCTCAGAGCTGCTCTGACCAGAGGTTTTCCAGGCAGTTTCACCCGAGACATCCTCACAATTCTGGGTTCGGAGATGCCGCGCGAGAGCTAGTCTGGCCAGTTCCGCCTGAGACATCCTCGCAACACTGCGCGCTGGCCGCGTCCCTGATTGGGCAGGGTACTCTCGCCTCAACGCTGGCCACATCCTTCACTGGGTACGTATGGTGTTGCCGCTCGAGTGCACTCGGCCGAGCTCTGACTACATCTCCGTCTGGGATAGGTGCTGTCGCCTTTGCGCTGGCCACATGCCTCATCATTTGGCGTGGTGCTCTCGCCTCAGCGCCGGCCATATCCCTAAGTGGGTATTGTGCTGCCGCTCGAGCGCCAGCCACAATCACAAGCTGGGACGCTTCTGGTATGCACAGTTAATACAACTTACCACTGGGAGTATCACCGAACATAGGTTAGATTATGCTTGTGATTAGAAATTATGGGACAGCTGGGAAGACGCCTTCCTCCACCACATGCAATAACCGGGCTTCGGCCCACCCGCGCTGCTCCTAGGGGGCCCGCCGGCCGTCCGGCGGACTCAGCGCGCTCCTGTCTTCCTGTCCTGTCCAGGGGGTTGTCCGCAGATTTTTTTGATAAGTTTTTACATTGAGTATCGTATTACTCCTTCTTCTCATCCTCCTCCTCCAAGCAGCTCCTTTTTTTCCGCTTGCGTATGACACCGTGTGGAATTCCAGGTGCGTGTGTCACGCGTTCGCGGATCGAGAAAACATCTGCGCCATTGGAATGGATGAGTGGGAGGGGCTTGATGCCAGATTTGGCGCGAGCGCACCTTGCTTGCCTCTCTCCTCTCTCTTCTATCTTCTCTCTTCTCTCTCTCTCTCTCCCTCTCTCCTTTCTCCAACTACACATGAATACTACTCTCACCTCTCCCCTGATTCTGCTCGGGAGATGCTCGGCCATTTCAGTTTTTTGTGCACACAGGTTTCCAAACATCTTTAAAGATGTCTTTCACATTGGAAATGTTTCTGGTGTTTCACAATGGTGCTTCCGCTGCAGCGTGGGCCTCGTTTTCGGATCGGCGCTTTGCTCCCGTCGTGCATTTCTGGTTCTGAGTCCTTTTCGATTATTGTCGTCTCCCTCATTTCCCCTTCTCCGCCTTCCCCTGGTCCTCCTGCTGCTCTCGCTCCTTCCACTCCAGCTCCTGCTGCTTCTGTTCGTCCTCGTTGCTCATCCTCCTGCTCATCCGCCACCTCGTTTTCCAATGTGCGCAGCTTCTCTTTTTTCCCGATTGTGCGCAACACGATGGGGTCCTCTTTTGAGTTCCAGGTCCGCTATGACACGCATCGGCAGATAGAGGATCAACAGCGGAATGGGAAGGGATGGGTGGGAGGGGTCGAATGTGAGACATGATGCGCGCGCGTCTAACCTGTCCTCTCTACAGTTACGCATTCTGAGCACTACTCTCCTCTCTCCCCTTCCTCTGTCCAAGAGATAGTTGGTCATCTCTGCGTGTGGTTTTTACACAGGATGTCGAAGGTAGTATTTTCCCCATGGCGTTTTACAATACGATGATCTTCCGGTTTTTCACACTGGTGGCCCCGCCGCAGCGTGGGCACCATTTTCGGCGCTCTCGCTCCAGCTGGGGTAACTCTTCTGGATCCGAGTTCTTCTACATCGTTGCCGCCCCCCTCATTGCCCCTCCTTCGCCTTCCCCTGGTCCTCCTGCTTCTTCCACTCCAGCTCCTGCAGCTTCTGTTCCTTCTCGTCCCCCTCCTTCCTCATCACCTTCCTCCTGCTCGTCCTTCTGCTCATCCGCCAGATCCGGCTCCGGTGTACGCAGCTCCCTTGTTTTCCGATTGCAGCACACGTTCAGGAGCAGGAGGAGGAGGAGGAGGAGGAGGAGGAGGAGGAGGAGGACTTCATGCTCTGAGCGTGCTCAGTCGACACCCGAAATCCCTCCTGGGGGGTGGGGCGAGGGGGGTGCCGCCCCCCCCCCCCCCCAGACTCCCCCCCTCCCCTAGGCGCGGGGAAGGGATCAAAGGGAAGAGGCTTCCCTTTGAGTTGATTGCGACGCTGTTCGATGTTCGTCTGGCCGCGACTCGAACGGAAAAACGTCTCCTCCTCCCGCTCCTGTAGTGCCCGATTCGGCTCCGTGGTGCCCTTCGGCTGCCTTCTACCGCGGGGTGGACCTGCGCCGCCTGCGACGAACAAAAACACGGCTTCCCGCCTGCGCAGGCCACGAGGGGGGCCGCCTCCTCCGCCTCCTCCTCCTCCTCCTCCTCCTCCTCCTCCTCCTCCTCCTCCTCCTCCTCCTCCTCCTCCTCCTCCTCCTCCTCCTCCTCCTCCTCCTCCTCCTCCTCCTCCTCCTCCTCCTCCTCCTCCTCCTCCTCCTCCTCCTCCTCCTCCTCCTCCTCCTCCTCTCTCCTCCTCCTCCTCCTCCTCCTCCTCCCTCCTCCTCCTCCTCCTCCGCCTCCTCCTCCTCCTCCTCCTCCTCCTCCTCCTCTTCCTCCTCCTCCTCCTCCTCCTCCTCCTCCTCCTCCTCCTCCTCCTCCTCCTCCTCCCCTCCTCCTCCTCCTCCTCTCCTCCTCCTCCTCCTCCTCCTCCTCCTCTCCTCCCCTCCTCCTCCTCCTCCTCCCTCCTCCTCCTCCTCCTCCTCCTCCTCCTCCTCCTCCTCCTCCTCCTCCTCCTCCTCCTCCTCCTCCTCCTCCTCCTCCTCCTCCTCCTCCTCCTCCTCCTCCTCCTCCTCCTACCGCCATGGCACGTGTCCGCAAATAGAGAAACCCAGCCCAACGGAAATGGATGTGTGGAAGGGTAGGGTGGCAGAGATGGCACGAGCGCACCTTGCTTGCCCCCCTGAAGTTGTACATTATGGGTGCTGTTCTACTCCTTCCCCCTGACGATGTCCAGAAGATGCTCGGCCTTCTCCGCGTATGTTGTTTTTTCACACAGGATTTCACACTTTGCTTTTCCCACGGGTGCTTCACCATTGTGGTCCCGCTGCAGCGTGAGCCTCATTGTCGGATCGGCGCTTTGCTCCCGTCGTTCAGACTGGCGCTCTCGCCCCAGCTCGGGTCACCATTCTGGGCCCGAATCCGTTTTCATCGTTGTCGCCCCCTCATTTCCCTTCCTCCGCCTTCCTCTGGTCCCCCTGCTCCTCCCGCTCCTTCCACTCGAGCGCCTGCTGCTGTTGTACGTCCTCCTCCTTCTGCTTGTCTTCCTCCTCCCGCTCATCCTCATCACTATCCTCCTCCTGCTCCTCCTCCTCCTCCTCCGCTGTACGCAGCTCTCTATTGTCCAACTGCGCACAGCACGATGGGGTCCTCGTGAAAGTTCCAGGTCCGCTATGGCACGCATCGGTGGATAGAGAATCCACAGCGTAATGGGGAGGGATGGATGGGACGGGTCGGATGTCAGATCTGGCGCGAGCGCGCCTAGCTCGTCTCTCTCCTCTCTCCTATCTCCCTGATTCCCTCCCTCCGTCTCTCTACCCCCCTTTTTTCCTTTCTCTCCCATTCTCATTCTCAGTATCTCTCTCTCTTTCTCTTTGCCTCTCCCTCCCTCCCTCCTTCTCTCTCGCTTTCTGTTGTCTGTCTGTCTGTCTGCCTGTCTGTCTGCCTGTCTGTCTGTCTGTCTGCCTATCTCTCTGTCTGCCTGTCTGTCTGTCTGTCTGCCTGTCTGTCTGTCTGTCTGCCTATCTGTCTGTCTGCCTGCCTGTCTGTCTGTCTGTCTGTCTGTCTGTCTGTCTGTCTGTCTGTCTGTCTGTCTCTCTCCCTCTCTCTCTCTTTCTCTCCCCTCCCCCTCTCTCTCTCCATCTCTCCCTCCCGCACTCCATCCACCTCCATCCCCCCTGCCTCCCTCCCTCCCTCACCCCCGCAACTTCTGCTTTTGCCAGGCACTGTCACCCTCGTCAACACTAGAGACGGCGCTGGGGGCGACCCCTACTCCCCGCAGCAGGAGCTCCCTGTGGGGAATCGCTCTCTTTCCCCCCGCGGCGACCTCGGCATGTGGTCCGCGCCAATGTTGATAAGTTGGCCTACTTGCAGGCGCCCCCACCTGCTCGCATATCGATAGGTTGCCTCATCGAAGCTGGCGGCCAGTAGCGATTCTCCTCTGCTGTGGGAAGCCTGCGTACCAGCACGCCAGCGATCCACCACACGCGCATACGAGTGATCGAAGACGCCCTAGTTTCCGCTTTGGCCGACGTCATACCGCTGTCTAGGGCCGCGGGCCGAAGCCGAACCTTCCTGCGCGCCCTGCTCCATCCGCCGCATCACAGGTCCCCGGGAACTCCTGTCCCAGTGTGTATCCGGTCTCTCGCACCATCATTGAAGCCCGCCCCTCTCGCCCCCGTGAGGTAGTGCTCTGGATGCCACCAGGACCTCTCATGAACTCATGGCGATCCTTCGGGCCAGGGGCACTTCTGGTAGCACCTGACCATGCCCCCCCCCCCCATGGCGAGGAATGAGGAGGCAGAATGAGCAGGGATGAAGGATTGAGAGGATCAACAGCAGGGAAGACGACGATGCCGAGATGGGAAGGGGGGAGGCTGAGGAGAAGGAGGATGAGGAGGAGGGGGAGGAGGAGGAGGAGGAGGAGGAGGAGGAGGAGGAGGAGGAGGAGGAGGAGGATGAGGATGAGGGGAGGAGGAGGAGGAGGAGGAGGAGGAGAGGAGGAGGAGGAGGAGGAGGAGGAGGAGAGGGAGGAGGAGAGGAGGAGGAGGAGGAGGGGAGGAGGGAGGAGGAGGAGGAGGAGGAGGAGGGAGGGAGGAGGGAGGGAAGGGAGAGGAGAGAGAGATCGGACAAGTAGGCGGACCAGGGTCCGTCCGCGAGGCGCACTGCGGTGCGACAACTCGCATGCACTATTTGCGGCGGTGCAGCCTTAAGATACGAGGGCGGGCTACAAAACCCCCTCCCCCGGCGCAGTGCGACTGACGCTACAGACGGCGGACAGACGATGAAGATCTCACCTGACAGACCGCGTGAGGTAAAAGGCCCCAACAAGAAAGGCGACGTGCTGGCACGTGGCTAGGCGGCTTGGCGGACCGCCAGTTGGGCGCTTGGCCGCTAAGCGGCGCGCAGTGACGGGGCACCCCCCGCCCCCACGCCCTGACACCGTGGACGTGGAGCCACACGTACACACGGGCAGGCAGAAAGGAGGAGATTAGCGCGGGGCACCAGGTGGAGCGCCGCGGAACGATGACAACATAGCTTGGATGTTGAGTGACGGCACGACACCATCGGGCGAGGTCGTGAGCAGCTCGGCGAAGGCTCGCCCAGCGCTGTGGAGGCGCTGGAGTAGAGGACCTTGACGAGCTTGGGCAGCGGCGAGGTCCGCGGCGAGAGCTAAGCACCTCTGCTGAAGGGCAGCCATAGCCTGTGACAGCTCGGTTTCACGGTCGGTGAGAGGTGGCTGCTCAGTGACATCCGCCGAGGATCTCGAGACAGAGGCGAGGTCCTCGGTACGCCTGTCCAGGTGGGCTAGCGGCGTGCGGGACCCTGAACGCTGACGTCCGTCACCCTTGAAAGGTGACTGGAGGGGCCGGCGCGACCCCAGGGCTGGAGCCGCTAGGGCCGCGCCCCGAGAGGTCAGGGGAGCCGCTTCCTCTCGCTCAGCAACGGAGGAAGCGTGGGTGGGGCACGAGGGCCTGTCTGGTTTAGTACCCTGCGGGGGGGCTGAAGCCGCCCCCGCGGGTCGCTGGCGATGGGGAGGCGGAGTGGTATGCGCGGTGGGACCAGTCGTGATGCCGTGCAAGGCCGCTGAGGTCGGTCGCGTAGAGGGTTGGTGTCTCGGTGGGGCGGCATGGTCGGCAGCGTGTGGTGTCGGCGGTGCGTCCTCAATGCCACTCAATCCTCGGGGGGCACCCGGGTCGTGGTCGGCGTCTTGGCGGTGACCGATATCGTCGTATGTGGGCGTTAACGCTCTTGGGGACGGCGTCGCAGTAGGGTTTGCGAGGTTTCCCGACGGGGCGGGGTTTTCGTTGGCTGGTCCGTCGTCCAAAGCGTCCGATCCCCCACCGAGGCTGAAAAGGTCATCGTCCTGCTCATCAGCGTCTTGAAAAGGAACGGCGTTGTCATGTGGGTGGGCTGACGCACTCAATGGCGGAGTCGGGGGCGCCGTGCGGGTGCCCGCCGGGGCAGGGTTGGCGCTGGCTGACTCGTCGCCCAGGAAGTCCAAACCTCCACCAAAGCCGAACGGGTCGTCCTCCTGTTCGTCGAATAACACCCGTTGGGCCTCGGCCCAGAGCTCGTCGGGGTTTTGTGGGATGTCTGGTCCAGCCGCGGGTGGAGCCTGGTCAGACAGCAGGGGATTTGGTTCCATTTTGTTTAGTTCTGCAGCAGTGAACCCAGCCCTGCGGTGTGGGAGAGGAAGTGTACGATGTCTCCGCTCGTAGATGGCAACGGCGACTCCATGGAGCACGGTCGCTTGGCGGTGTCGTGCTTTGGCAGCTTCAACGATGTCGTCTGGAAGGTTATGAGTACGTGCCGCCGCTGTGGCGAGGGCGTCAGCCTGACGATTGAACTCCTCCGCGATGGGCCCGATGAGCCCGAGGTCGATGCCCGTGTCGCCCTGGTGGCTAGCGACTTTCTCTACGCGGAACATGTTTGGCTTGGCCATGACACATCGGTGGACCTTTTCCCAGAACTCCACGTGCGTGCCCTGCGGAGGTGAGTGTCCGTCGATGATCCTTTGGAAGCCGTCGACCACCGCCTGGTTGTCCACGAAGACGTGTACGGGCCGTTCAGCACATGCCGTGAGGTGGACAATGGCGAGGGTCTCCGCAAGCTGTGCGTTCTGCGTGATGCCGTGAACGCGCGCACTGTAGTTCATGCGGTGGTCGATGCCGTAGTAGACGCCGTAGCCCGCTCTTGCAAGCAAAGGGATGGCTTGGTTGGTGCATGCACCGTCCGTGGCAGCGTAGACCCATGTCCAACCAGTGTCGTGGTCAAGGTAAGTGGTGTAGGAGTCCTGGGCTGAAGCCGCAGGATCTCCCTCAGGCGGGGGCCGCGGTATGGGTTGAGGTAGCGGGTCCCTCGCGAGGTCGGCTTGCAGATCGAGGAGGGCTGGGTCCTCATCGAAGAGCCCGCAATGTCTTGTGTGCGGAGGAAGACGGGCCCACTGCTCGTCACTGATGAGGGTGGTGAGAGGGACTCTTTCACGGGCCCAGCACTTGCAGTCACGCACAGTGTGCTCCTGAGTTTCCTCTTCCTCGTCACAGTAACGGCAAATAGGGCTGGGATCAGCGGACGTATTTGATCGAGAACGTCGCTGTTGGGTGTGGTCCCCGCCCGACAGGTAGTTTAAGAGGAGCGCCAGCTGCCATGCGTTGCATTTGGCAGCTCCTTTGGTGCGGGCGAGCCACGTGCTGGCGAAAAGGTCGAGGCCCTGTCTGGCCGAAGCCAGGTGTCCAAGGTCATGACGCCGTGGCTTGATTTTTCTCAGGAAGGCTCTGCGTTGCGAGGCGCGCAGCATGTGAAGAAAGGCGTTTTGGGGAAGGTTCAGCCAACTGATCTGACAGCCCCAGTCGTCGTACATGGTGCCAAATGTGGGCCAAGTCCAACGGAGCTGCTGAAGCGTCTGAACAAGTCGTCCAACAGGTCCTCCGCCAAAAAGGGTCTGGACATGGTGTTGGAGATCCCTGACGAGGCCGCAGAGAGTGGCGTCGCGGTTGACCTGTCGCCGCAGGCACAGGAAGACTTCACGCTGCATAATGGCGTCAATCTCCAGGGCGTGCCCTGGGACGCACACGGCCATGAGAGTCCAAAACTCGACCCACCTGTTTCCCTTGGGGCGGATAGCCGCCTTAAGGGCATGGTTGTAGGCAGTTTTGACGGGGCCTGATGGGGCTTGGATGTCAGTGCCCGTGGTACAGACGCTGGCAGCAAGGGAGCGGGCGTGCCGCGCCTTAATACGCATCGGAGATGGGAGCTTGCCAATACGCGGCAGGCGACTAGTCGCCCTGCGAACACGGGCGTCAGCGGTGGCCGTGAGGTTGAGCGCGGCTGGAGCCGGCGCTGCCTCGGCGTTGATGTAACTTCCGACGAGCTTGAAGGAGTCGACCACGCGTAAGGGCCGTTCCGCCAAGGTGAGCTGGGTAACGGCGGTGTGAAGCTCGTCAGTAAGCGCCCACCCCGCCACTTTTCCAGGATGAATGCGTTGACCAGAAAATCGATCAAACTTGGCGGTTTCATCAAGAGATTTCTGCAACTCGGGCGCGGTGTGGGTAGTGGAGTTGCTGTCGTCAACAAAAGTAGTGCTGAGTGACCGCGGCACGTAACGATGCTGTCTCTTGGTCCAGACGCACATGAGCAGCTTAATGTCGTCCAGGGACCAAGAGCTTCCCTGGAGGTGACCGTTTGTCCTGGCCAGTTCCTTAGAGTACGCACCGTTCATGCGGATGTAACGTTTGTGGCGCCTGTAGAAGTTTCTGCGGACAGTAACGATGTCTTGGGGACACCCCGCGTGAAGCGCGAGGTTAAGGCATATGTCCGTGATGAGATAGTCGAAACACTTCTGACGGTCCAGGGCAGCTCCAGCCAAGGGAAGGAGAAGGGCTCTGGCGTGTTCGATGCGAAGGGCGAGAGAAGTGCTGACGTCCCCAATGGTAGCTTTGGGAACAGCGCCAAAACTCGTGGCGTGGGTCCATCCTTTCCGCCAGTCCGTGAGGCTGCGGTAAGCTGGTGCTTCCCACGCGTACATCCAAACGGAAAGCACCGAGAGAAGTCGTTGGTCCGTTGGGAGTTCGCCTCGGCCTTTTCGGAGGCACGGGTTTGGGACGTGGAGGAGGGGTTCTGGGATGGTGCCAGTGCGTTGCATAGCTCGTAGAACGCTGGCGAAGAGGCGAAGAATGTCGTCGGGAAGCTCCTTTGCCTCCTTAGTAGTCCAACCGTCCAGACCCCCCGCGCGTCTCGGTGAACGGGTGCGAATGAAGTGGATGAGTTGGTCGTCGGTGAGGT